GCTTGTCTCATTAGGAAAATTTAAACCATTGTTTATTTAAGCCCTAGAGGCCTAATTTAAAAGTTGAACTTTTACGACACTTAAGTGGGTTATTTTGTAGGTTCTTAACTTATTAATGACCGTGACATCACAAAGAGTAGGTTAATAAATAAATGTCGCAGGACATACGCTAGTCCAAAGCGTTTATATGGGAACCGAAAAGTAGCCCCGGCTTAAAGATGCCAAAAGCTAATCACCTGCATGCAACCGGCAATTACAACGCCTATTAAAAGAGGCGATTTACGCGTGCTTAGCCCGACGCCTGATAGCCGAATGAAGACATTATAGAAACGCGTGCTGGCGGCGGAGGAGAGAACCCCGTTTGGTCATAAGGCCAAGTAGGAAGCGTTCTTCGGGCAGCCACAGCTATGGGATTCCACCAGCCGACGGCTCCTCATTTCATGCGCATTTAACTAATCTGTCATCTAATCCGGCACTGCATCTCGGAGAGCTCAAGGAGGCAGTGCCAAGACTTCCACTCCTACCTTTACTGCACTGCAGTAAATGCACTTTCAGAAAAGTCGAAGCTACACGAAGGGGTAATTGAAATCAGCAATAAGATACCTTTTTAAGAAATTGATGGGTTTTCAATAGACTAAATTATTTAAAAAAAGAGTTTTGTTTTAGTAAAAGTCCTTTTACATAGATATACTATAGAATACAAGATAATATAGGGTTTATCGTAATTTTCAAAGCAGAGCTACACAAAAAAAACACGCAGGGATCAAACCGACATGCGCCTTGTAAATTTCTAGTATTTTTACGCATATCGCTTTAACCATGCAGTACCGATTTCTCTCTATCTCTCTCGGAGATTCTTTGATTTCGTAAAAGAGAGCAAAAGGCAATACGGCGACAAGAATAAATAATTACAAATCAGTTACAAAATTTTTTGATTTTTTTGGTAGCAACTTTTGGAATAATTACAAATAAGTTAACAAGTTATGTGTGATTTTTCTTGACAGCTTTTAAAATAAATAAATTAAAATAAGGCCGAATATCAAACATACTTTCGACAACCAAGCTACTTATATTAATCAAATAATTTTGCTCTCAAACTAGCGCATAGTGTAAGCCAAGCCGTGCCGCAACTTACATAAACATAAAGGAAACAATTAACTTGTTGCCATAAATTCCAGAATAAAAGCCGGCCGCTCCCTTGCAGGAAACGCTAAAGTTACAATTTCTAAAAAGAAAATTCTTGAAAGCAGTTTCGATTCGCTTGCCGCCGCTTGTCTGACAGCCGATGATAAAAGAAAGAAATCCCAAGACACAGATCCAGCTTGCAACTTCGCATTGTCGACCGACAGTCTGCTGGTGTTTTGTCTCGGCTACTTTATTTCACAGACGAGTGCATAGCCAGCCGATGTGGCTGCTCTTCGCTACTCTTTCGCTGGACTTTATCAGTGTCCATTGTTTAGCCATTTCCCCAATGGAAACTGAGCTCGCTCCTACAGCAGCCAAAGTATCAGCAACCGAAACAGCGGCCACCAGCAGCAAGCATATACGATAATATCCCCATAGTTCGAGCGGAAGAGCGGTTTGGGTCTTGATTTTCCTGCTGTATCCAGTTCCATCGACCACATGGCAGCCAGTACATACATATGTACATATGGGCGGCATATGCTCGTATATCTTCTAATCAATTGGAGTACCATTCATTCGAATTGTGGGAGTATTCAAGCTCACAGCTTAGAATCAAATTTAATTAAGGTCTAGAAATTGGCAACGAGTTGGTATTTTTGTGTTAAAAGTCGGAAATGTTATTATCTCGTTTAGGCAGGCATCTTACATATTTTTAATGTGAGAAATTTTTCTAAAAGTACATATATGTTAAAGTATAGGTTGTCAATATTAAACAACATTTAAAATCAGAATATTTCAAAAGAAAATATAAACAGTATTGAGTATTGATTTTGAAAAAATAGATAAAATTATTATCTGCATTAAGATCATATCAAATTGTGCTATATCTGAAATCCATATTTATATTTTTTTGTTACTTGGCATATTCAAGAAAAATTGGACATGTTTCTTGTGGACGTTTTTCGAATATAGCCACAATATTTCTCTCCGCTTGGCTTGGCCTTCAATTGACTTACAGGGAAGTGTTTTTTCTTTCGCTTGGTGATTAGCTCCACCCTAAAAGATTTTTACAACTTGCAATTAAACACAAGTTGGGTCCAGGCTTCTCTGCCCCGGCCCCTGCCACATCTGCACATCTTGTGGCGTCCCCGTTCGATCAGCTTGTTTCTGCCTGTCTTCTCTATTTATGGCGCTAACATTACTCAGACGCATGTCGTTGCTTATTTGCTTTTGTTGTAGTTGTTGGCTGTACTTGAAGCTGAGCGGAGACAAGCAATTACAAAAGCAGAAACCTTGGCTTTGGCTTTGGCTTTAACTTTAACTTGGACGTGGCAGCCGCAGTCGCAGCCTTTTGCCAGCGGCTTCTCTTTTGTCATTGCGTGTTGCGCAGGCGCACAACGTTTGCTGGGCCGCTTCTTTCCATAATTTTTTCTCGGTCTTTTACTTCGATTTTTTTTTGGATTTTTTCTGCCGACGGCTGCTAATGTTGGCCCCTTCAATTTGCCATATTTATTTTGTTTTTATTGAAAATAATAGCTGAGTGAGTGAACGCTTAACTGGCTGACTGAAGAACTGCTTGATTGAACGAATGACTGCGCCGTCCTCCTTTGCTAGCCATCTTCAGTAGTCTCTTATAATTTATGGTCTTTTAAGATTTTACGCAAATGGGTAATTTGGATGGTGAGCCTTGAAGGCCTTTCGGGCTAATGAAGGTTTAGGAAGCCAGAGAACTATGTGCTAATCGAAATCAATAGGCAGAGTCTAGGAGTGATTGTATCGCGTGTCGCAATCGGAGAGTCATTTAAATAAATAAACTAAAATCAAACAAAATAATCAGAAACGAAAAGAACCTTAGCAATTGCTTATTTGCCGCATTGTTGTGCTCAATTGCATATTTCATCTTTGGGGAGACGACGAGCGAGCAACCAGTTTTATGATTCAACCCAGGGTCCGACCCTCTTCTCTTGCTTAATTTATGCTGAGCTTCATTTACTCGTCGTTTTCAGCATAAAACTAATTAAAAAGCCTTGACGCTTGGTTATTAAAATTAAACAAAAACCACATGTTCGTTTATTGTCATTAAAAAGTTGATAAATTGTCTTTTCTCGGATTATGCGTCATGGGCTTACAAGAAAAAAGGTTAAATATTATGTGAGGGGATTAATTAATCTTTACGACTTCCTGAGGTCATAGTCACTGGGAAATCATCAAAATTACTCACTTGGTAAAACGTTATATACGCATGTAAACAGGTTTCAAGAAGTTTGGATAGCACAATTCTCCCTATAAAAATTTGATCTAAATTTTGCGAGAGCTTGCAAAACTCTTTAACTATGCCTTACATCCACAAAATTATATTGCAAATCCCGTTAAAAAGTTAATACACAGTTTCGAGTATGAATGCATGAAACACCTGCAGAGCCCGTGACTCTTCGAACGACTATTAAACCCATAGAATTACTTTCTGGGAAATACTTGAGCCGGTAAAAAGAGTTTTAGCTTTATGAGGCCCCTACCCCGTTCTCCAAGACTCAAAGGTAATTTGATTTATTAAAGATCTTACCCTCGCCGCCATGCTGAGTACATCAAAGTCATGTTAAACATATGGCGTACTTAACGACGAAGTCACAGGATGTAAAGGGGGTAGAGGGGCAAGCTATAGCTAGTTTGGCCGTAAAGATAAGCACACCAAAATGGTCTTAAAGTGGCTGTGTTTAGAGAGGTCTTAATGAGGCTGAAAAACGAACACAGAAATTGTCACATTTCCTGGCCAGCGGAGGAAGGGGGGGATCAGAGCTCGTAGACTCACTCAGGATCCCCCCACGATAAAGATAAAGACAGTCACACCGCAGAGGCCACTTAGGCCAGAAATGTAACATCATCAGGCTGGCTGGCTGGCTCGAACTTGAAGATGCCTTGATAGATTAGGCCGCACTCTTGGCCAGTATCAGATGCAATATTCCGTTCCCATCCGTGACAGGCGTTGCAAGACTATCGATTACCGCCGAGATGGGCGCATTCCTCATACTCGGCGGCGTTCGTGGAAAACTATTTTTAAATAAGTATGTGCTCCCTAAATGGATACTCGACTTCACTGGCCCTGGCGAGTAAAAATAGCCCTGCTGTAATGAGATGAAGTAAGAAAGAATGATGTTTAACTATGCGAAATACCCGCAAAATACTTCGCTGCTAAAAAAAAAACATGTTTCTAAGCCAAAAAGCTTCTCTCTTATAAAGAGATACTGATCAAAAATATTTGAATAGGTTCCAACCCGAGGTCCATCCACTGGACGGGTCACTTTCGGGACTGTCATTAATGGCGCCGCTTGTTTGGCCCACAAACCAAAAATGCTAACTACTACCTACAGTCAAAAAAATCTATATGTGCATGTAAATTTCTGGTTATGCAAAACCCATTTCGTTTTTACATAAAATACTCATTTCGACCATATCAAATTTACCTGGCCCCATATCAAGTTCAAATTGATATTTAATAATGCAAAATCGATCTACGTTTCATATAGATTTTTTTTTTGGGTGTATGTACAGCTAGCCAAAGACATAAAACGAGTTTCTTGTGTTCTTTTTCTGGATTCTTCTTCGGCGTTTTGTGGTCCACGCCTTTGGGTGGTGACTATGAAATTGAACCAGCAGCCGGCAAACAGCTTTAAGTTGGCCAGGCCAAGGAGGAAGTTCCATCGCAATTATCCGGAGGCAACGCCCGCCGATCTAGGCAGCATGATTTCAAGGTTCGTTGGTGAGTTCGACCGATCGAGTGATAGCATGGTTGCTTGTGGGAAAGCCTGAAATCTCCCAAGCATCTGAGTTTGAGATCGTTGTCATCGTTGCTTGTGCTGTTGATAGCTTGGGCATTTGAAGTATTTGTAGTCTTTGCCTCTGACACCTAGCAAAATTCTAAAAGTGATATACTGCCTATTGAGAGGCCGCCATGCCTACCCTAAAGCTGCGAATCGGTCTGCCCTCGAAGCGAACGATGGGCAGCATTTGCATCTGCGGAGCACTGGCCTCCATCTCGGGACTGGCCTACATGCGCTGGAGGCAGGAGGACCGGGTGCGTCAGTCGGAGTTCTACCAGCTGGCCATCCAGCAACTGCGCCAGCATAGCGGAGCCGTGGGTCTGCTGGGCGAGCCCATCAAGGAGTCGGGCTTCAGTGTGGCCAACGAGAAGAACCGCTGCGACGCAGACAAGGCCCAGTTTCAGGTGAGCGTTCAGGGCTCCAAGGACCGCGGGACCGTCTTTTTCTGGGCCACCAACAACCAGAAACAGGGCTGGCTGATCGATCGCCTGGAGCTGGAGACCAAACAACATCCTAACACGCGGTTCCTGCTCAAGAAGCCCCAGAACTACGCTCTGCTGAGCAGTGAAGGTGATCCGGAGCCTCCGGTTGCCTCTGATGCCGCCGAGGAATCGCAGCAGCCGCAGGAGGCGCTCGAGCCACAGGAGCAGTCGGAGGGCGAGGAGCAGGACCACGAGGCCCAACGCCACCCCAGTATTCACAACAATCCCCCGCAACATCTGCGCCAGCGGCAGGGTCAGGAGCCAGTACCATTCGTTCATACAGCGGAGGGCTGAGGTATGCCGGAAAATATATTTGGAAAATCGGTCTTATCGGCCCATTTGCAAAAGGAATTTTTTGACCTCGAAGGAACCCGTATTTAAGGTTTATTTTGGGGATTAATTGGCTCATTGCTTTCAATTGTTTGGAGTAAAAATAGGCGACAGTAAAAAATGTATACAAAAATTAATATCACTTCTCACAAACTATTAAAATTAAAGTTGGCTAATAAAAGTTGAAAAAAAGGACTCTTATTTATAATGAAGGTATAAAATACCTACATTATATTTGTCAGGGTAACATATCACTTAGATAAATTACTATTATAAACAATTTTATTGAAAGAACAGTCTCATCTAATCTTTACAAGTAAAATGCATGCGTTCTAGAACACCGAGGAGAAGACATTTTAATTTACTTGAAATCATTTTCATAGATGGCTGGCATTCACAAGAATGTCAACAATGACATTGTGGTTTTAGCTTCTGTTGGTTTGCCAAAGGTTTCAAAGTAAAATAAAATGAATTTGATTTGATGTAGATATTTGCAGTTTATTTTTAGTAGTCTGCTGGCTTTGTTTGAAAAGTGTAGCATCATGATATTTATAAATGATAGACATTACAAAAAAATAACCTGACACTTATTTATGGGGAGACCATGAAAGCATTTAGAGCAAAACGTTAATACGATTAGGGGGCTTGGGATTGGGATTGGGGAGGTGGGATCATTGTGGGTCAGATATGCTTCTTGACATGCAGGCATGCAGAAAACCTAAGAAAGTCAACGGTTTAAATTATAAATTAAAATATATTTTATATTGTTTGGTATATAGGTATGGTATAGGGAAGGTTGCTACTTAGATACTTTCGTAGTGAGCAATCTAACCGTTGTTGTCCGCGTTGTTATCGCTTCATTTGGGGCCTTATCTGGGTGCGTGGTAATTAAATTCGTGATTTTTGTAGTTTCTTTTTATTACCAGTTTCCCGCCTTTTTGTGGAAATGTTCACCTTCCTCGTCGAGATGTTATTAAAAAGATAATCGCAATCTTAGACATTTTATTTGCCTCTTTTTCCTTCTTTATTTCGTGGAAATTAAATAGCGGCAACGAAAGGGGGTCTGTCGGGGCGGCCACTTCTTGTTACCTTGAAAGTTCAACAAGCCAAGACAAGGAAGCAACAACAACAATGCGGCACTAAAGTCAGAAGCAATTAAGCGTACGCACAGAAACACAAAAACTTGAAACACAGAGGTCAGAGGGGTGTCCAGTAGTCCGGAGATGGGCAGCTTTTGTTTGCACAATATAATTTGGCCCGAGAAAAAAGAATTATTCATATCTTTATGCGTGTATTTATATAAGGTCATTGTTGCCCTTTGTTCACCCAGACATTTACCATTTGTTGCGGCAAATCGACTATGAATGATTTTTTATTACGATTTAGTATTTAAGCTCTCGTTTCGTATTCATTCAGTTATAAAACAAACATAAAAGTTAAATTTTTAACAACGACAAATATAACATTTTAATATTACAGCTTAAAATCAATATTTCGTTCTTGGGAAACTTCTTTGGAAATTTCCAAAAACTCCTTTTTGTTATAAGTACAACGAACATTGCTCACAATACTGTTGATATATTCACCTTTATCTGCCGTAAAGGCTGATAAGTTCATATATTTATTATCTTCAATTTCTACATCTGGATTTCACGCTTTCTTCCACTCAGAGACAAAAAAAAAAACGAATTTACATGGGTTGTGTTTGGAAACGAAAACAGTGAAAAGTAAACCGAAAGTCATTTCGAGAGAAATCTGTGCAAATGAAGTAAAGGTGTCAAGAACTTTATTGACAAGCAGGCCTTTAACTGCCGGGCATTGAACAAAAAGAATCATAAAAACGAAGAGCGCGACCCAAGATCCCAAGAATACCCGTGTAGGAAGCAAAAACGACAGACGAAACCAAACAAACTTAAAACGTGACAAACAGTCGACAACAAAAAATAAGGAGAAAAATAGTTTTTGCATTTGTCAAATGAGCTACGTGAAAGTTTTCCACAACTGACGGTTCGTCTCATTTTAATCCAGTTTAGCTTGGTTGGGTTGCGCTTCTGGTCATAAAAATCGACCTGACCAATCCACACATATTGAGTTCAAAGTCATATGAACCGCACCACATGCAATGCGATTGCTATTGCGAATGCTACTGGCGAATGCCACTTTTACACAAAACTAGTTTCACATGTGGGCAGTGAAGTAAGCGATAGGTCGACATACTTTCCGCAGCCACTGTCATTGGCAAATAAATAGAGCAAAAGCAACGTCGCACAAAAAGGCTTATAAGGTGAGCCAGCTAGACGTAATTAAAAAATGTGTAAAACTGCAGCTTATTAAAAAATCATTATAAATAATACTCAATTTAAAGGATCGGAAAGTTTAATGGAGCTTTTCTAGCTAGATCTCTAAAATCATTAATGGGTCTGTCCTAAAAAAGGCTAGAAATGCAGCACTAGTCCGACAAGATACAATATTTTATTTACAATAGTATTTTCCTATTAAATATATGTCACCAACAGGATAATTATTACAAAACAGAAGAGTTGTATTCATTTACCCCTACAATACGAATTTTAAAAAATATTCAACAATGCTTATATAACCAAACTAGATTATTTGAAAGTCCGTGGACCATGTTGCCACATTTTTACTCTTCCACTTTACGTTTACGGCCCAGAAACTCATTTGCAGCTGACACTAACGGCGATGGCAGTCAGCCAGTTGCAAAAAGCAACTAGGCGAAATGGACAGAGAGGGATGGGTGGGTGGGTGGTAACAATGGCAAACCATGGTCAATATCAGACGTCGTCGAAGCAGTCTTCAGGCCAATTCCAGAGAGCCAGGGAAACGTAATGCAGAAAACAGACTGGGAAAACGTGTGACACAAAATATCACTCTCATTTGGCGATGATGTTGATGATAATCATGGCCGCGGAGTGAGGGGAAGCCAATTGCATTTATGTGTGGATAGTGACAAATGTCAACGGCACACGCTAATTAAGGTTAATGAAAACGACAAGCCGAAGCTCGGCAAAAAATAAAGCATGACAACAAACAGGCGGCGGTGATTAACGAGGACAGCTAACTAAATTGGTATAAATTGGTATGGGTGCTTTATGATTACGGCTGGATAATGCAAATACTGGTATTACCTTCCCTGAACTCGAGAAATTAGCATTCCTAGAGCCTTTTGTTTTTTTTTTTTGTCGCCGTCAAAAGTTTTCCGTTTCAATTATTTTGCTTTCGGCACGTACTTTCTCTGCTCATAACGCCCCCGATTCGCCTACATAAATTATAGCCGTGCATATTTTCAGACCCTAGGACATTGATTCATTACAAACACTTTAATAAAGAGTGGTATCTTTGGAAGTTGCTTTCCATTACAAAACTATTTTTTCACTTTTAATTAAAAAGTTTAACGATTGTGGAATGTTAAAGTATTCTTGATAGGGAAATAAGGTTTCTGGTAGGGACTAAAAGTAATGTAATATAACTTACCTATTTTTTCTGCTAATTGCTGAAATAGACAGATAAAAACGAATAAGTACAAGAAGATAATTAAAAACAAGAAAATAATAACTTTTCTTCAACCTTTACTAAATTCCCAAAAACAGTTTCGGTTGCAACATATTTTGAACCCAGAATGCTCACACATAACAACGTACTCTATTGTTTTTGGGTTAGCTACACAACTTTTTTCAGATAGGCCTCTGGCAATCTACAAAAAGCAGACGAACCGTTAAGACTCACTTTAAAATGCAATTCAACTGCATTTGGTCTATTTAAAAATTAATGCTCTGCAAAGGAAAACAAAGCAAAATGCATGAAGAGAAAAGCAAAGAGTGAAGTGCCTTTCTGCACTTTTTCCAACCCACCACCTCATCCAGAAACCCATTCTCTGTCATCGCCTGCTGCATGAACGGCGCCCCGAGGAGGCAGTACAACCAAGAAATCCTGCCCCAAGATAGTTACCCGTTACATGGTGTGAATATTAGAGAACAGTAGGCGGTGCTGGCTCGAAAGGAAACAAAGGAACTGAATAATATTTCGGGACTGCAGAGGTTTTAAAGTTATGAAATTTAAACAGAAAGTCTAATTTGCCTATAACCACAAATTGTTGCAATCGAACTATATATGTTTATAGTTCCAAAATAAAAGTCATAAAAATCAAATATTATTATAACTCCTCGGCGAAGCGGAAGTTTTTAAACTCTGCAGCGACTTTGCTCATTCAAGGAGTACGAGTGCTTTCTTATAATCAACTCGACCTAGCCACCGAACTCCTTGCGCCCATTTGAACTCATAGAAAAGCTGATCCAAGCTCAGCAGTTGCTGTGCGCCACTTGACTTTTCAAGTGATGTTAGAGGTTATGGAAAGGGGTGCGGTAAGATAGGGCGAATATAGCCCTAACACAATAAACAAAGTGATTTATCTGGTTAGTCTAGAGACATTGAGAAGCTGTATGTGTGTCCAAGTGGAAGTCTTGGGTCAAGAACAAAATGGGTGAATGTTAAGATTTTTCAAAGAACGAACAAAGAAAATATGTAAAAACTGCATACAAGGAAGACACAAAAAACCAATATAATATTTTGTTTTGAAATTCCACAAACAACTGTCAGCGTGTAAAAACTGTTGTAAATAACTTGAATGCGGAAACTAGGAGGATTTGAGAATGAAACTTGCACAACTGTGCACAAACATAACTCTTTTCAAGCCACCAAAAGGACAAATGTCAAAATGGCAAGCAATAAACAACAACAACAGCGGTCAAACATCTAATGGCAAAATCAAATAAACGCGCAACACACATGGACAAACTCATACCATAATCAAAACTCACATAGCATAAAAACATGTTATATGCACAAAAACAAAATAAAAGTCTTCGAATTCATTCTTAAAAGAGAAAAAAGTAAGATTTAAATAACATTCCTTTGAAAAAAAAACGAACTTTAAAAATATTCTAAAAAACATTGGAAAAAAACCGTTTTCATACAAAAAAGAAAACAGAATCTTATCACTTCTAGCTTTTTCGTCTTGGCTTCCGTAAAAATGGTATTCCTAAAATTGAAATTTCAAAGGTTTACGGTACAACGTATGTCAATTGGTCTTTAAGTTACAATTCAAATTTATGGAAAAGATTTTGTGACTGTGAAGCGAGAACAAAGCAGCACAAACTGCCATTAAAACATTAAATATTTGGCAAAACATCAGGTGCTTTCGCAGGATCAGCCAACAAGGGAAAATTAAGGATTCGTGTTCGGGAAATGGGAGCACAGCCTCAGCCAAGTGGTATTGCCCGGAAGGCAATATCCGAGTTCAGGTAAATGTGGCGCTTGAGCAAACGCCGCGCACAATGCAAAATTTATTAGTTTTGGCAGAGGAATAACAAACGAAAATACACTGAAATATCTGAGGTGGAAATACCCTAGAATTGGATATTAAACCCAGATATGAAACCATCTATGCTTTGAACTTTTTGAAACTGCAATGAAATATTATTATTGAATCAGTTTTGTTTACTGTGTCTCTCAAACACTTGAACTCTACCCAGCACTTTTAAAAAAATTGTGAAATTGTATCCAAATAGACTTTTTGTTAGTGTATTCAAATTCAGCCCATGGCACTTGCACCAAACGAGCGACTGTGCGGCGTCTGAGCACCGAAAAAAGTAACAACTGCAGGCAACTTGCTCTCAATTGTGTTTTGCCTACTTTTTAGGGTCTCTGTAATTGCAGCCGTATCTGTTGCGGTTGACGGTGACTCTGAAAAGGTTTTGGCAAGGCTTCAACCAATAATAAAAGAACAGGTGCCCTTCTCTGTGCTCGAAGAGTCGAATATTGAGCAAGTGCACTTAGTATACACAATATTATCAAATGCCGGCGGGTTTCACTAATACGCGATAAGCTAGTTCTACCTAAACGAGTTGGCAGTTTGAATAGTTGCAAATAAAACATAAAGGTAAATACAAGAAAATTTCTACAATTCTTAAAATAAGAAAATAAACAAGGGCAGCCGAAGCCTATATACCCTTGCAGATCATTCCTATTAATTAACAAATCGCAAAAATGTTCAATTTTCTAATATTTCTCATTAATTTTCCAATCGTTCCTATGGCAGCTATATGATATAGTCGTCCGATTTTGATCAAATTAAAATTGAAATTCGAAAATATTTAAAAAGAGTCATATCCTAGAGTAGAAGATAATACAATAAAAACCAAAGAAGCTAGAATTTATTTCCTATTACTTTTCCATTAATTTTCCGATCGTTCCTATGGCAGCTATATGATATAGTCGTCCGATTTTGATTAAATTAAAATTGAAATTCGGAAATATTTAAAAAGAGTCATATCCTAGAGTAGAAGATAATACAATAAAATCCAAAGAAGCTAGAATTTATTTCCTATTACATTTCCATTAATTTTCCGATCGTTCCTATGGCAGCTATATGATATAGTAGTCCGATTTTTTAAATAATTAATTCGAAATTCAGATATATTTAAAAAATAACATCCCCGAAAGTAGAAGGTAATATTTCAAAAAACACCGAAGCTAGAATTTTTTAAAGTTTTTTTTTTCGATTGTTCCTATGGTAGCTATAAGATATAGTTGTCCGATCCGGTCGGCTCCGACATATATACTACCTGCAATAGAAAGAAGACTTTTGAAAAAGTTTCATCCCGATAGCTCAAAAACTGAGAGACTAGTTTGCGTAGAAACAGACAGACGGACAGACGGACATGGCTACACCCAGAGAAATGCGGGACTAATTTTTAGGTAATACATGACCTAAAAATTTTTAATAGACTAAATTTTCCGTTTTAGGTAATGGGTTACCTGAAAATATTGGCATGTGGACTATGTTCCTACTTTTTAGGTAATACAAAAAGAATTTTTGTAGGCCATCGTAACCATAAAATTAGTCTATTATGCCTAAAATTTAGCAACAGTTTCAAGTCGATTTTACCAACAATTTATAAATATATGCAATCTTAAACTAATTTAAACTTATTACAGTTCTTCTTCCTAAGTGTAATACTTATAATTTAATGCGATAGTCACACAGGACAAATTAATTTTGTGTCAATAATTTTAACTTAACTCTAATTCACAAATTTAATTATAATTATATTAAATCTAAAGCTAGTTTAAATAATCGCGAATACTTCAATGTTTAATATTTTATATTTCTTATTTAGTAATTTTAATGAATAATTTAATTTTAGCTTAGTGATATTTAATTTTTCTAGCGTTGAGATATAAACAAATAATAATATTAAATATTATTACTAATTTTTAAATAAAATGCTAGCCTATAATATTATTTTTAGTTTTATATTTAAAAATATTGTTTGCCTAATTTGAAAGCTAGTGATGGAAAAGATCCAATACAAAAATCATAAGGCATTTGAAAACTACGGTTATCGGTATCGTCGGAACGATCGAATAATCGTCCATCTCCAATCACTCCGTCTTCGAAATTTTCAATTGTGGTGTTGTGTGTGATTTGGTGTCGTGTGTAACAAGTGTCGAAATAAATAGAACTTAACAAAAAGCAAGTAAGTAAAGTGAACTCCTAATATTATTTATAGTATTCTGATTATTTCTATACGTGAAGAAGCTTACTTAAACAATATACTATTAGAATATGTGCAACAAGCACGCGGCCAAATACATACATATATATACACATGCATTCCTAACTGCGCATTTCGTTGTCAAACATATGTTTGTATGTGTGTGCAGGGATGCGTTTGGGTTTAAGGGGAACTTCGATCAACTTGCCTATTGCGCATTAACTAATTGGTCGTTTTATTTTATAATAGACATGGAAAATATATTAAGAAAATTTGATTGCGAAGCTCTTAAGGATTGTTTTGAAGGTAATTTAAAAAAAAAAGTAATGTTGGTTGTCAATTAAATTATTACGATTTTAATAGAACATGGAGTGGATGAAACATCCATATATTTATTGACGGCAGAACATTTAAGGGAGATTGTGCCAAAACATTTGTTTGGCAAACGAGTAATTTTCGAAAGCAAACTAAAGCAGTTTCATGACAGGGTGAGCGTTGTATTTTTCTGTATGTATTTTTGTTCCAAGACATTTTATACAATTGCAGGATTTGGGTCCAACAAATGTAGAGGATAATAAACCCAACTTCCAGGCATGTAATTTTAATAACACACTGATTTTAATAATCCGATGATATTGTAAATTTTTTATTTCAAAAATTTGTACTTTTTATATGGGATTTGTAAATGCGCACTAGGAGGTGTCTGCTTTGGGTATTTTGAAATTGTCTACGCAATTCGTTAACATCCAAGCCTACTACCGAACTCACAACTGTCTCGTGCCACGACAAAGAAAGCTAATTGGCCAGATAATAATTGAATTTATATTCAATAATGGACTTAATTGGCAGCCTAAACAGTTTGATAAAATAGCCCAGCAAATCGTTGACATTTTTCCTAAAGAAGTCAAGGTATTTAATTATATTTTAGAACAACAAATTTATATTTTTTTCTCTAAAATAATCAAAATAATAATATTTAACTTTTTTAACCAATCTAACAAAGTGTAAATAATTAATTATTATTAGTATCAATTAATTAAATTTTAATTAAACATTATACAACCGATCTGTGTTAACCGCTCATATTTGTTGGCTTTGACTTGAATAGGAGACGTACTATTTTCCTAATAAGAACAAAAAGGCCGGAGGGATTTTGTACGGAAAATATCGCAATACATTAGCCAAGCGACGAGGAGAGGCACCGGAGATTGTTGAGTCGGAAAATGCTGACCCCGTCGAGGAAGGTACTTCTATATATATTAATGAAATCTAGTAAACATATTCACTTATTAAGTTTAATTTATGAAGTAACCGCAAGCGACGAGTTTTCCACATTCTGGCTGCAGACCAACGTGGCTCCCAAAACCCGTGTCTTCGATCATTGGCAGAAGACATTTTCGCAGCGCTACCTGACAATTACAACTGCAGAAAATAAACTGCAGACAATTTTAGAGGAGTGGCCAATTTTGAAGCAGAGCTTTGGGCATGATCTGGTATGATTTTTGTGCCTCCTTGATTGCCCTTTTTAATTGATTACGATTATATTTAGATCAAACAAGACTTTGACTTAAGGTTTCCAGATAACAAGGTGGATTTCGAAAGCAAATGGATGCAATTTCGCGAAGGGTTTCTTGAGTTGGCTCAAACGAGAACCAAAGAATCTTTCAGTTTGGACATTCTTAAGAAATTTCAAACTGAAAATGTCTCAGAAGGTAACTATCACAATGTTTATTTTAATAAATATTAATATGTTGACCTTATTTGCAGGAACATTGGATACTGGAATTTTGTTAATTTTGCACTCCGTCCTTGTGCCAACCGCTCGACGAATCATCAAGAAGCCGAACAATAAAAAAATTGGGGTAAAAGTTACAATAGCTGATTCTCGAAATAGCTTTTACATTCAATTTGCTACATCTGGCGAGCTTGAAACGGCCATTCAAGACCAAATTGATATTCAGTTAAAGAATAAGGACTGTTTGCAACCAATAATTTGTGGGATCGGACCGAGCGTTCTTGAAGCAAACGAGTTTTTTGTTTATTTCGCGGACATTTTCTATAAGTTTGAAAGCATTATAGCCGCGGTTGAAGCGTGCTTTAAGATTTTCTATGTTTTAAACCTGAAATATCCGGAATCTTGCAAATTAGTTTGGCTATTTATACAAGAATTTTTTTTTAACTTTCCGATTCCGGGTTGTGATATGCATCCGTCAGTAAAGTCTTTAGCCAACGACTTGAAAAAGAACTAATGTAAATAGCTATTTCTATACTATAATACTATTTTGGAAACGTTGCCAACAGTACTACTGCTACGAAGTTGAAGGATACGGATCACATACTTTAATTAACATTAACGATATTTTTAACCCCCCAATTCATTTACATAGCCTTAATGATAAACAATATGTTAAGCCAAAATCTTTTTAATTAATAATATATGTATATGAAAATAATATTTTAAGATAAAACAAATTAAAAGTGTATACAAATAAATAACAAAAACAGTATTTTTGAGTTTATTATTATAAGAATAATAAGGAAAGGTTTTCCTAAATTTTAGGAAAATATATGCCCCTAAATTTAGGTAAATATGCCCTAAAAATCTAGTCCATTGGCCATTTTTTATGGTAACAATTGCCTAAAAAAATCCAGGAACACGTACAAAATATAGTCCATCATGTCCAAACTTAGGTAATTCTGACCTAAAAATCTAGTCCACTAGCCATTTTTTTAGGTAACGATTACCAAAAATAAATCCAAGACTGCGTAAAAAATATAGTCCATATGACCAACATTTTAGGTAATGATGGACTTGGCGCATTTTTCTGGCCATGTTTCCTAAAATTTTAGGTAATTAGGCCCCTTTTTAGTCCATTTTGTTTTCTGGGTGTAGATCGACTCGTCTTGTGATGCTGATCAAGAATATATATACTTTATGGGGTCGGAAACGTCTCCTTCACTGCGTTGCATACTTCTGACTGAAATCATAATACCCTCTGCAAGGGTATAAAAATGTGTAAGGTGACATTCTCAGCCCAATTTTATTGGTTCCTTCACCCAGAAAAAAAAATGACCTAAAATGTCTAAAAATGGCCTAGAATTTAGGTAAAATTTGCCTAAAACTGGAGCTAAGTCCTTGAATGGCCTAAAATTTAGGATTGTATGACCTAAAATGTTAGGCCATTAATGGCCTAAAATGGGGTAATTTTTGGCCTAGATTTTAGGTAATTGGCTGCCTTAAAAAAAAATTTTAGGCTTTATTTGGCCTAAAAATTTGTACTGAAAAATGTTTCATATTATAAAGTAAATACAGAGAAATTTATAGCTAACTCGATCTCAATGTCGGCTTAGTCTTCAAGAAGTCGTCATTATTCCAACACACAAAAACGAGCGAAGAGGCTTCACTGTTCAGCAGTGAAATCGCTGTTTTATTTAACGATCGAAGTGGGTTACCATGCAAGCCGCGCTATAACTGGTTGGGAATTATAGCGTCGCTAGAACGGTATCAGAGTTCCGTGCAAATTTATTTAGGTAAAATGCATTAATTTTAAGGCCCTCGATGACCTAAAATATTAGGCTATACGGGACCTAAATAGTAGGGCAAATATACCAAAAATTTAAATTTTTAGGCTGTACATGACCTAAAAAGGAACTTTTAGTCCATTTAAAATGTTTTAGGCTATGCATGACCTAAAATGTTGTCCATCATTTTTCTGGGTGTTAAAATACGCAAGGTGGTAAATAAAGTCCTTGGGATTTTAGATAGATCGATCATAGATAGTTGCATTAAAAACTTTACGTAAAACATTTTTAACACCTTTGTTATTTGGTAATTTTTAAAATATATTTATATATTATTAATATATATATTAAGGGAAAGAAATCTCGAACTTCTGGTCTACAAGAACCCAACAAATAAGTATTCAAATCGAAAGACAAAAAAGTTATATTTAATTAGCTTCAAATGACCCATAGACTAACAAATCTAACATTACCATGATGCCATTGCATGTACATAGCAGACAAATTTGTCTGATGCTCGTAATTTTAATTAACAGTGCAAATAAATGTTGGAATTCCCCGGGGAAGCATTCACTTGGCTAATGGAATACCGTGCGGCTATCTATATACAGGGTGAGTCAAATATACATATAAATATATTGCCAGCCAGTCCCAAGCAAACATGTTTACTCGAGCACCAGCGCAGGGTAGGGAAATGAAAATGAAATGGGATTGTCGAATGGTATTGGATAGTGAAATTGAGTCGCGGTTCGGAAACTAATTAACCCTTCCTGCTTCCTACTTCATAAATGGAAACCCCTAAAAAAATACTATGTCCCACAGGGAAACTCAAATGTAAAAGCCCGACCGGTCTTTGTCCGCTGATGCGAAAGTGTCTACTAAGTACACCTAAAAGTGCACTTAAAATTGCATTCCAAATTAATGGAATTTTAAGCAGAGCAGTGTGCAGACTCAGACTTTAAAGGCTTAGGTTCATTTTTGGAATGAAAGTGGCCTTATATAATTTTGGATCCAACGAAACTTTTTTAACATTAAAAATTATTGTAAATCGTTTAAATCGCTTTAAACTTTAGATCTTGGCTTTTTTCTGAAATTTTCAGGGGCGATTTTTCCCGAGCAAATAATGCAAATTTTTCCAAAATTTAAAATGTTCTTAAATCACCCATTCATTCTACAAAGCTAGCGTTAATAACAAATTAGTAAGTGCGTCAATTGTTCTCAGATAAGACTTGGCAATCGCACTTGTAACTTGTCGTACATTTAGTTTCTCCCGATAGAAAATTGAATTTAGCTACCAATTTGTTAGATAAGCTATCTCTAAAATGAAACAAATCAGAAGTGTGTTTTGACATTTCATCAGAAACAGACGTCTGTAAAGTAGCAAGATAAAACAAAAATTTTAAGTGGTAAAACCTATAAACGCTATTAGTTTGTAATCCTTGGGGCGTTAATTGCTTATCTAGATTTGAAAGCAATTTCGACTACACAATACTAAAATTTTGAACATGGTTCTCGATATCGTGTACTTTATCTAGTATCGATAAAAGCGATAGGCACAAGGTTAACATGGTGGGCTAATTCGACTCACAAAGTAAAGTTGCTCCCAATCCTAATCATGAGTCGAGTCTGTCCGTCCTAATTATAAAATATACTTCAAAGATTTCAGATATAATTCCAAAAACAATTACGAATTAAAAGACCATCGAAATAAAGATTGTTGAAAAACATCGTTTTCGTCCATCGTTCCACATAAAGCAGGTGAATGGAAAAATCATACGAGTGATAGCAAGTGTACTGAAGGTTGGCATCATTCAAAAGATAAGATTAAGAAGCCATTACTCATTCGCCAGCTGAAGCTAGCCAATTAATTATTATAATAAAGGTAAAAAAATAACACACAACGGTCTGGTCCTTCCTATCTCTTCGGTTATCAAATCGTTTAAACTTGACGTTAAAGTGCGTCTCGGAATTCAAAGAATAAAGTATAAGTATAAAATGCTTAAAAAACAAAGTAACAAAAATATTATATTAAAATGATAAAATAATGGAAGGAAAGTTTTCAAAAAGCAGAAATAACAGCCTTCACAAATTAGAAACTGCGAAAGTGAACTACGCAGCATATAGGTGCTTACTGAAAATGACTGCGAGTTTCAATTATTTTATCACTTCGTATGTAAATTGAATCGACTGAAAAATGTCACACACGCATTTGTGCCTGACGCGGCAATCAGTCAAAAGACAAAACAGCCACTTATTGCTTGACAAAAGTAGAGAGGTCTTTGAAATATGACAGTCGTGAGAGATATTGCGCCCAAAGGCATACAAAGCAAGGCTCTGCTCAACCATTTAGGTTCTGACAGAGTTAACATTGATGTTTACTTATCTTCAAATATGTATGACACATCTTCATTTCGTGGACTTTGAGACGAAAATTACCTAAAATTGTCGAGAGCAATAACCTTGTGAAAAGATTTACCGCGTATAAGGGAAACTTTATATTTTTAAATTCAACAAAAATATTTTTTTTAAATACTGTAACAAATTTAAGTTTACACCGAAGTAAAGTGGATTACACAAGCTTTCTTAATAGCCGATTTTCCAAGAAACTGATTGGGTTTTAGCCCAAATGTTTTCCAATTACCTTAATATCTTTACACAATTAAGTACGCATCTTCTGTTTAATTAAGCACAATCGCAATCAATCTCGGAAGCTTACATCGAATTTTCAAGTCCATTGTGTAAACTCATCCAAAGTCCCATACCCATTCAAGTTCCAAGATGGAGGCTGACTTTAGATGGTATGTGAAGCCATAACACGCAACCTTTGAGATTAGCTTGTCTGCCACTTAATTAGTAGCATTTACGTCATATTAGACACAAGAAACTTTATCAAAGATAAAGGAAGTCATCATTATGATAATGTCAAAGTGCTGTTCGAAAACAAATCATTTCAGGGCGAGAATTATTGCAGGGAAATAGTTTGAATACATGTGTCAAACGTGAAAAACGCATCCAAAGAAGCTCCCCTACGTGAAAAAATGTTGCGTCCAAATAAAAAAGATTTACAATTAAAAAGAAATGGTTTGAACTTCGCTGTCAATTTTCGCCAGTAACAAGTATAAACTAACCGTCTCAATAAATGTAAAGTTGAGGAAAAAGGTAACTGTTTCAATTATGAATTAAGGTAAAGATTGAGGTAAAAGTTTGGTCAAGATACTGTTAAAGTTTCATGATGTTTACAAATTTAGTAGAAGAGAATAATGTTTAGAATGGAATCATTCTTGCATTATCAACAGTCCATTTATTTCGTTACTCTGTACATTTTGCTCATCTCTTTTCGTTAAGCTTCCTCTGAACCTTCATTTCCCATCCAAATCGTTCCGAAATAAAAATGACTATTTTACTTTTACCACGGAAACTCGGTTGGCCGTAATCCACTCGCCTTTGCACTGCCCCCTTCCTGCCACTAAATTGATTTATGATGTCTGCCACACGCTCTCATTCTGTGGAGCGCTGAAAGTTATGCAACAGCAGGCTGTGGGCAACAGAGTGTTTTACCATTTTGTTTACCGAAAACTCCGTTTATTGCGAACCGCCCAGAGTGGGCGTGGCGTCGAGTAGGTGTCAACTCCAACTACTACTATCACAGGCGTGAAAATTGCCCCGAAACTGTGCCATCCTGTCCCCATTTTCTCGTTTTTGGCTTCCTCTGAACGTACTTTTTATTAACAATCATAATTCATATTTATTAATGTGCTCAATTTGTTGTTAATGATATTGCGCGCCTGTTCACGGATCGATTGTCGACGCCCAGCTGCTGTCATTATTTTTTCGCTTGTTAACTGCGCCCGGATGTTTAAAATGCACTTAAAATAATAAATTATTATTGTTAAAAAAAAAAACAAAGCTATCGCCAACCAAAACGAATTTAAAATTGTGGTTCTAAGTTACTTATTTAATGCGTTGTTCCTTATGTACCTACATATGTATGTAAATTAAGTTTTTTCTTGTAAAGCAAAAATAATGCTGAAAGCGAGAGCACCCGCAGCAATTTGCAGCATTTTGGTCAAGGACATTTTCATCTTTTATGCAACGGTAATCCTTTTAAGCAGCCTTGTCGTCCACCTCTGTTGAATAGTGAAAACGAGTCCCTCAGAGGCATACTAAACTAAAAAAAAATAAGGAAAACAAAACTAAAACTAAATATCACTGTGGGAAAGAACAGAAAAGTGTGCAAGGCGCCTTCTATATATTCATAGTCGCATAATTTAAAATCTACTGTGGTACAATCTAAACGAGTGGTAACCAATCGAAAGGTATCGTAAAACTAAAAGGATTGCATATCAAGACTTCAGAGTCCATTAGTTTGGGAAAAATAGCTGTAAATGTGCAAAAATTAAAAAATTAAAGTAAAATAAAAATGGCCGCGTAGCTTATGGAGGCAATTTGTCGGTACTTGCAACGCTTCAAGAAACTCAAGTAAGTTGACACATTTTCCACAGAAAAAAAAGCGAGACAACATAAAAAGGCTAGGCAAAGGCATGTTGAATACTAAGTCAGATTAAACAATACATTGCGGTTAAGGTTCTTAAGGAAGAAAAAAACAATGATGGTTTTAAAAAAAAATATAAATACGGTTTTAAAAAAAATGATCTCTAAACAGTAAATTATTCTTATTATATTATTGTCTAGTATAGATTAGAAGTAGTACGTATGACAAATAATGGGACTTAATTTATTCAAACATCCACCGCTCCATAAATGTTTAGTTTACCTTAATAAATTAAAATGTTCTTCTACTACAATTAGATATTCTAGACTATTCGTGTAGGTTCTTGTACATCTCAAGCTTCTACTATCGATTTAAAGTGACGCAAGGATTTTTGCCATTTTCAAGTGATTTAGACCATGCGTATGAGAAACCTTTTAAGTAATTAACAAACTAAGAATGTATCTCAAACGTTAAATGCGCTTTTCGCTCATTCATTCAAAAGGATGCTCAGTCTTAGTGTAAATCTAGTTAAGGCACAAGTCGGTGGTTTGGCATCTGAGTCTTCGTGCGAAAATCCCATCAGAGGTTATACTAGGCTCACAGGATTGATTCTTTGCAGGCTTAGGTAAGGACAATAAGTGATGAAATTGGTATCTTCTAAGGACTGCCCCGTTTGGGTCCCCACCCATGGCTTGTGTGCCATTGTGCTCACATGGTCCTCTCGTCCTTGTCCTCAGACACACACATATTCAACCGCAAGCCCTAGAACACAAATACCAGCAAAATACCCGAGGCCCAAGTCTATGTCAAGTTTGAGTGGCTGCCATACTCCACCGCCCATGGTCCATCCTCATAGTTTCATCTTGAAACCGTTGGAGAAGGGTCTGTGCACTTGGAATAAAATTGTTCATCATCACTTTTGTAACATTAAGTAGCGTAAGACTAGACTGTATAGTTTTTCTTGACTGTATAGTTTTTTCTTGTCTTAATAAGAATTAAATAATTTAAATATTTGTTTAATGCTTTTTTTTTATTAATGAAAAATTATCAAAATAAATCTAAATGAACTACAGATTTGACACCAAATTTATGCATACCTTTAAGGCTCAGAAAGGTTGCAATTTTTTCTCTGGGTATAAAGAGATTGACAGCACTGAAGGCATTTGCCACTTGGAAGACTGCCAAAAACTACACACAGGCTGCAAAGCTCCGAGAGAATAAGTGATGGGGGTAGTGGCAAACGATTTTTAATTAAATTTCCTCCCTTCTTGTACCGAGTGCACCACTTTCAGTGACTAATATCGGTAAAATGTAAGCATAAAGCACATGGAAAGGGCATTATTATAATTTTTATATCCGGCAATGCTCTTTAATTGTAATATTCTTTAAATTGAACCCTGGACTGTGAATCAAAGGTTCAATTGAGTTTAAAAGAATCTAGTCAAAACAAACAATAATAAAGCAATAAACAACAACAGCGACTGTCTGTCTTTCGTGAGCAACCCTTTTGCATAATAATTAGGAAACTCTGGCACTGCGAACCAATGATTTGTGCAAATGTTTTTGACGTCGCCTTCAAGTTCTCCATTTCTTTATCTGACACTCATTTTCTCTCATCGCTCGAACTTTATGCATTTGCATATTAATTACACCTAAACTTTTCTTGCTCGAGCTGAATTAAGACACTCTAAAATGAATTGCACTACATAACAAGAGAATGCGCTATAATCGAGTACTTCGAAGGAAGTATTTTAGATGACAGAAAAGTTAAATGGAAATATCGCTCAGCTGCCAATAGTAGAAATAACTACCAAACTAACGGTTAATAATAATTATTATAATAGGTACACAATATTCGAATTACGCTTACTTTGTTAATTGTAGAAGTAAAGTTTGATATCAAGTTTGATGTCCTTGTGGGGTATATATCTAAAATGATAAGAAAACGTTCGATTAAGCATAAAAATCGTTATGATCGCTCATTTGCACACTCAAAATAATAAATGTAACATTTTCTGACGAAACGGTTTTTATAAGTTTTATAAGAGCCTAAACAAAATATTTAAGCTCCGTGGATGGTAGCACAGTAATAGTGACGAATAGCGTGATTGTAATCGAATTAAGATACAGACACGTGCTATACGTCGTTGGACAGGTTTTGGTTCTGATATTGCGATTTATAAAAAACCTTGACGTGAAAAACTAACTAACTAATGTAAGGTTGAGAAGGGTGAGTCAGACTTTACTAATAAAGACAAAAAAGAAATGTACTCTCAAAAAAAAAAAAACAAAGATGGTTTCTTACCTTGTTTAATAAGTTTTTAATTACCACCTTTGAAGTTTCCTTTACCAAAAAAAGCTATGGTTTCATGTAAATCACCTTCAGTTCTTATACCCGATAAAGAAACATACTTTTCAACAGACAGACGGTCGGACATTGCACTTTATTTGTTGGATCGATGATACTGTATGGTTTTTAAGTAATAATGACTTATTTAACAATATATTAAGTTGACCAAAACAAATTGATTTTATATGTGTTGCCAATTGCATTACCCTGTTAAAACGAAATGGACTAAGTCATAAGATCTTGTTTTTTTTTAACAAATTTAAACATAATTATTATAAAGTACTATTTGAAATGGCAAAGCAGCATCAGCTAAAGTAAAATTTGCTAACTAAAAACCAATTTTTTTTTACAAATCATAAATGCTAGCATAGGAAATTATTCAATCGACTGACCTAAAAGGACCTGCTTGGCTAACTTCCGATCCAACGCTTTTCCTTTTTTTTATAAACCTCCATCTAGGGGTTAAGCCACGCATGCACATCTACAGCCCCTAAAACAACCCATTTTCTTTATTTTCCTTTCAATTCAATCAACCATTAAGCATAAGCCGCTGTTGACCCGAGCAACCCAACGCATGTCATGCTGACGATGACATGCCCTCTGGCCGTGGAGAAAGGTGTCAGAACACCGCACAAGGGGCGCACCTGTCCCGCACCCAATCCACAGCCCCTTCTCGGAGGAATACCCCTGGCCATGTCCCTGACTGGGTGACTGACTGACAGTTTTGCGTGCCTAATTGTTAGAGGAAGTAGGAAAAACATTTAGTTGCCCTGCAGTTGTCATGACAAAGCAGATAGCCCGAAAAATCCCTTTTTGTATTTTGAAAGGGAAACAAATGCCAGTTACGAATATTTATGAAAAGTAATAAATTACAATTGTACAAATACAAAAATGCAATGCGCCTACACTTTATTCCACACGAGGCAAACATAATTTCAGGAAAAAAACAGCAAAGGCTATTCAAGGAAGCATGAATATGTTCCAAAAATTTATGTCCGAATAGTAAGGGTTCTAAGATTAAAGATTATTATATTATACATTTTAATTAACTGAGTGCTTTATAGTTTCGTTCTAGTAAACCGTAAGTTTAAAAGTAAGACCTTACTCCTGCTTTTAAATCCGCACCTGACTTTTTATTGCTGTAACCCAAAGTTATACTTTTACATCTGACTGATTTCTGAGGTCTGGGTCTAGGAAAGTGTAAAACGCAAACGAAAACAAAATGCACAAAAATGCTTATTTGCGGTTAGCCACAAAATGGTAAGCCAATACCAAACCAAAATTGTAGGGTAAGGGCCAGCAGCTTGTTAACCCATGTTGACTACAAAATCTCAAACCTTTCTTAATTTTCATGTGACAGAATGAGGTGTTAGATATAAAATTTCTTTTTGGAGAAATATTTTATAGCATAGCGTAGTAAATATCTTCGAAATCTATTCGAAAAAGTGGTTTATTTAAAAACGTTTTTTGTCAATCCAAGTAATAAATGTTGTTGCCCAAGATGTTTTATTCGTCGTCATGACAAACAAAAAAGTATTTGTAATTGCATGTCAGCGTTTTCGTTACGTCAGTTGTTGGATAATATTCCAAAAACAGCAAGCTAAATGGTTTGGATTTTGTAGGCCAAAAGAAAACTTTCGCTAGGATAAAAATACAAAAATCCGTTTTAATTCAGACAAGATTATTAAAAAAGTACTCGTTACTCGTAACTTTTGATTCGGGCGTCAATGAAATGACGTACATTCACTAAGAACACTGAGGAACACTGCTTTAAATTTGATATCTTTCGTTCAAAAATACTTTTTAAAAGAAAAAAAAGTTTGTTTTATATATATTTAGCATTGACATAATTATTTTAAGTTAAAAAAAAACTGTTCACTTTTTTCAAAATTTTAGCTTCCCTTATATGGATAAATATGGATATTATCCAAACTTCTGACTGAAATCATAATACTCTCTGTAAAGGTACAAAAATAAATGGTAATACATTTTTTTTAACTGTAGCTATGATTTCTTGCGAATACATTTTACATTCCCAGCTGTTTAGCAAGTAAGAAAAGTTTGTGCTCTTCCGGTTGAGCCTATTGTGAGCAATTATTTCTCTCGAAGTTTAACTTAAATATATAAATTCTTTCTAGCTTATCGGGGTCCTCGTCTCCAGGGTTCTACGTAATCCAACCACTGCAATGCGTTCGTAGCCCCACCCAGTCACCACGCCCCTCACTCACTTCTGTTATCAACATTACGCGAAACTGCTTTTAGACTGAGTTCTATGCTTTAACGGACAGCTCTTACGTCCGATTCTGTACTTACTCTATAAATATGTTCTATTGCCGGGGAAAACATTTGCTCAGTGATCGTTTGATTACCCAGAAAATGCTCTAATAATACTAATGGAGTAAATAGGCGAGTGTTTACCAAATATAAATAGTTAATAATGGGGAGAAACACATGGAACTACACACGTAATTAGCAAATATTTTATCTATAAACAGAACAATCTAACCTACATAATAGTAGTTTGAACAGGTCGGTATCGAGAATATCAATAATGAGCTAATAAGGTACCAATCTTACTTTTTTAGAAAATAGTTAGTTTAAAATAAGATTTCTATAAAATAACCGTTTTCAATCTGAAAAAAATTATGCTTAAATAATCAAAATTCATTTAGAACGTAAGGAGATATTATTATTTTAATCAATAAACGTATTTTTTAAAATGAACTAACACATTTCAAATGAAATATCCATTTGGTAATCCCCTTCTTATTTCCCGTCGAAACCACAAAATTCTATTTTTAAAAGACGTTCGCATAAATTAAGTTGTATATTTTCAAGTATTTATCTAGTGACAATATTTAGCCTCAAACGACGACAAGATTTATGTGGGCTTCGGAGATTTTAATGAGCTATTTTGAAGGAAAACAAATACCGAACAAATTTTTAATAGGTTAACAAATGTTTTGTTAATGTGAAAATTAAAAGGCGATTGAAAATGGAATTAATCAAATGTGGGGAAACCCGAAGAACGAGGAAAGAATATATCACCGTTGCTTGGGTCAGATAAAGAACGAGTTATGATTTCGATTTGGTTGCTATAACTTTGATTGTTATTGCCAAGAACCTTATCAAATACCTTGCTGTCTAGACCAGCATGGTTATTAAGTAAGAAAAAACCCAGAAAAAACCCTATCATAATTAGTTTCATATTTTACACTAACCAAGTTAAATTTCATACATCAGCACTGATAAAAAAAATGAAATAGTAAAAATAAACATCTGCACATTGAGTGCAAAGATGCATAGTACATATTTGAATCAAATACAAAATCATAATATTTAATATAAAACATTTTAGATTGATTGATTTAATTCGAAAATAATTCAATAAAGGATGAATATATTAAATTCGGGAATTATATTTCTATTCAATATTTTTCGTCACTAAAAAAAGCATTTTATACTTAAATCAAAGCTAAAAATATTTAAATGTAATATTTTAATATGTAAAATTAATAAAAACCACAATGGATGAAAAGCATACCGAGAAATAGTTAAAATGAATATGAAATATTTGGATATTTTTTATCAGTGTCAGTGATAAGAACCTTTATTCCTTGAATGGGGTATTTCTTTTGAAATAATACTAGCATTTATGATATTTCTCTTTTCTTCTGTCTGATATCGTACAAGTAATAGTGGAGCATATGAATAAAATTGTTGGGGCGATAATAACAATACTTAGGCGAATTCCACAAACAAGCGGAATACGAAAGGAAGTCAAATTAAGAGCAAAAAGAAGAGAGGCAGCAATAACAATAGCGCCAGTTAGACAGACTATAATACACCAGAAATAAAATAAACTTTTTCAATTGTACGAAATTGTTATCGAACTTACATCACACTCACACACACACAGCGGGGCAATTTTCGATTTTTTTGCTGCTGATGATGATGATTTTGATAATTTTCTTTCTTTCGATATTGCTGCTGTTGTTGTTGGTTGTTGGTGGCCGCACGAATTTGAAATTTGATTTCTTTTGATTTGGCTTTGTTAATTTTAACGTTGGCTTTTTGGCTGCTCTTTTGGGCGAAAATAAAAGAAATCGCGCTGTTGCTTTTGTTGTTGTTGTTGCCTTGCTTTGCTGACCGTTTTCTATGAATGAATGAGAGGCATAAGTAAAGCAACAAATGCAACAACAAACAACAACAACGACTACAAAAAAAGACGAGGCGTGACGCGACAGCAGAAAAAACCGAATCAGTGGGGGAAGCAGTAAAACGAAACGAAACGGGTTTTCACATAGTTTGTAGCCCAGTGTTGTGGCCCTGGAGAAAGAGAGAGAGAGTAGTGTCCAGAATGCATGCCGAAAAAGGAAACTTTTAAGCATTTACACTGGCCAACACAAGACACCTTGTGTGGGTGGTGGGTGGAAGGGAGAGGCCAGGCGGGGCCAGCTGATTCTGATGGGGATTTTCGGGCATGCCACATGCAGCGGCAACTTCTCTCTCTCGCTCTTTCTCTCTCTTCTGCTGCAAATTCAATTTTTGTTGTTTATTTAGGTAATGCGATGCTCAC